CGCTGATGTTGCTGGTTTTTTGACGTCGACGTATCGATTAAAACTGACAACTGACAATGTTATGAATGTTGTTATGAACGTGTGCATTTTATTAAAATTAATTTAATTTGGTCCCCGTTTATTTCTTTGAGTCTGATTTTGTTGTTTAATTAATTTTCTTTGGGGGGGGGGGGAATGTTTATTTTTGCATATTATTTTTTGCATGAAGCAATTTCTGGAACCAAACTCGCGTTTTTGTACACATTTCGTTCTAGAGGTAAGTAAATTCCAATTTATTAAGAAAACCACTGTATAATGTGTGTGTTTAATAATATATGACTATAATTATTTTAGATGAATTGGAACAGAGATCCATTGTTACAGCTACTTTTGTTCATTAAGTAGGTAGATGAATGTCTGGACAGCTTTAATGGCAGCACAAAGTTCCTACCTACTAGAAAAGTAAAATGTATGCAGAGTAAAGAATCTACACATGTAGTTATTGGCAAAGGACTTTTGAAATGATTAAAGATTGGCTATTTCTTACATCACCTACCTCTAATAGCCACTCTAAAGGAAGAAAAATAAATTGAATCACAAAAGGGCAGAATTTTAAATCAGGATGCATTGGAAAATAAATTTGGGGACATTAGGTCGGTTTTGGATTTTAGAGAGAGATCAATCTCAAGAAAAGTTAATTTATCCTGCAGAACAACCAGTAGTTTAAGTAGGATTTGCTATAAATTTATTTGAAATTTTCTTTGATAATAAATTGTAATATAGGTACCAATTAAGTGTAAAGGTTAAAGAAAAGGTCCTTTATTTCTCACAAGTCAATTTAATTGGCGACCGGTTTCGAAGTTGTCACTTCATCATCAGGCACACCTAAATGGAATGTCAAGGAGTCAGTTGTAATAAAAACAATTATAAAAGCATGAACGGACTTTAACATATACAAAATAACAGAAAAAACAAAAAAGAAAGTTAAACAATAACCTTGACTCACCTTGACTAATTCCATAAAGGAAGCGCTACAAAAAGTTTAACAGAACGAGTTGAAAAAGTCATGTGTAATAAGTATTTTTTAAAAATTTTTTTTAATGTAGGTTATGTTAAACCACCAGATGTTTGTTTGAATAAAATAATTAATTCCTGTAACAGTAATTTTCTTTTTGATTATCTGCTTCAAATTTTCCCTTTTACATATGAATTTTCATATTTTCTTGTTTAGTGTTCTAATTTTCTTGTTAGTATAAATTTTTTTTGCTTTCTCATTCTCAGTTTAATATATTTCACTTTCAATAAATTTTGTCACCGCCACCTATACTCACTTTCAGTAAGTAACACCTCCGTTAGTACACTATTTATCCGCTAATTTAAAATTTACAGTTTACTGCATTGATTCGTTAAAAATCTAGATAGATGTCTTGACAGTCTGATAATTTTTACTTTTTTACTTTTTACTTTCAGTAATTAACATTATATCCTTAAAAATTTTTAAACTGTTTGTGCTTGTAAAACTATTTTGATAATAATTGTCTTAAATATGTTTTAATTAATTATTTTATTCAAACAGACATCTGGTGGTTTAACCTAACCTACATTAAAAATTTTTTTAAAAAATACTTATTACACATGACTTTTTTAACTCGTTCTGTTAAACTTTTTGTAGCGCTTCCTTTATGGAATTAGTCAAGGTGAGTCAAGGTTATTGTTTAACTTTCTTTTTTGTTTTTTCTGTTATTTTGTATATGTTAAAGTCCGTTCATGCTTTTATAATTGTTTTTATTACAACTGACTCCTTGACATTCCATTTAGGTGTGCCTGATGATGAAGTGACAACTTCGAAACCGGTCGCCAATTAAATTGACTTGTGAGAAATAAAGGACCTTTTCTTTAACCTTTACACTTAATCCCTACTACTCACATATGGCTACCCTCACTCCAAATAGGTACCAATTGTTTCAAATGAAATTGAAAAAGAGTTAAATACGAAATTAGATTTTTCTTGAGTAAAATGTATACCACATTGTAAGGTAATCTATAATTAAGGGAATATGGAAAATAGGTATACCCTGGTGGTGTAAGAGACAGGTAAGGGGCAATGACAAAAAAATTACAAAAATGTATTCATCTTTAAATAGTGTTTATTATTAATAATATTATTTGCTATGTTTGAAAAGTACCTCCTGCTGCAGAACAAATCGAATAGATTGGACTACTAGTTGGAGAAGTCCACCTAGTAACCAAATTAGGAGCCTAGGAAAACTTTTACATGACTGGGGACACAACAGGAATGCACACACACAAGATACACAAACAAAGGAAATAACAGGGGTAAGCCTTCAGCAATGTCCTGTTTAAATGATGATAGTATGTCATCCTTCATTCCCTTTTAGAAGGCATGACATATAAATCTATTGATTTTGATTACCCTAAGAGGAGTTAGCAGGGGGTGTACGGAATGGGTCTAGCAGGTTTCGATCCAGTTTACAGGATGGGAACTTACTCGACTTGGGCCTTATACATTTGTGTTGGGTGTATGTGTGTTTGTTTCGTTTCCATGGTTTCTATTAAAATAAACCGTCATAACATATCCATACCTTTTTGCCAGACATTTGTTCAAATGGCACTTATAATAGTCTGGCAAAAAGGTATGGATATACTCTATACTTTAAAAAATATTTGTTACATTAGTTTTTAAATATATTATGAATATATAACAACTGTTACTTTCTTTGTAATTTGTCACAAAATGATAGGAGGTACTTTCTAAACGAAGCAATTGTAGTTTGTTTTTCTGTACCTTACAAAAATATAATTTATAGAAAAAGAGTTTGGTGTATTATTTTTTCTAGTTTAAATATTTAATAATCAATAGAATTTTCAAGTTTTTTTTTTAGCGAAATTTACAAGAGTAATAAAAACTATGTTCACTGCTTATATTAAACTGATTAAAACTTCCTTTATTAAAATGATTATTTATATGATAAAAAATTTGATGTTATTGGAAGGTTTTATATTTTTTTAATATACAGTGAAACAATAGTTTATGTTTCTCCTGTAAATTTGTATAGAAAAACTATTTCTGAATCCATGTTTGAATTTCCCGCCCTAAAGCATTTTTAATTTTCCCGCTATTTACTAGTGGCGCCATCATAGACTGGTTGTGGTTACAATCGCCCAAATAACTTGTACCGAACAGAAAAAATACATTGAATTACACGTCTCGCTGGATTGTCTCTGGTATCTAGGTGTTGGGCGTTGTTCAAATGTTGGTCGGTTATGGGAGCGTTGAAACTACTACCTTCTTTCAAGAAGTTCTGCAGCGTATCTGACTGTTTTTGAAGCTGTGTTTGCTTGTTCAATCTCTGCTTTTTAAATTCGCTTCCAGAGGATTTTCTCTTAGCATCGGACATTGTGGTTTCTGGAACAAATTAATTAAAATAAAAGATAATACTGATATCAAAAAAAGCCATGATTTGATTTAAATTATAATTTCTGAAATCCCCCTTGTGCGCCACTGGCTAAAAAAAAATGTAGTTTATTCAACTTCAGACTCAATTACCTTTTATTCGATACCACACAAGCCATGATTTGATTTAAACTCTAATTTTCAAAATCTGCCCTTATGTGTCACTGACTTAAAAAAATGTATTTCTCTCAACTCCAGACTCAATTACCTTTCATTTGATACCACACAAGCCATTTTTTGATTCCTACTGACTGCGCCAGTCCTATTTTTCTTTATAAAAAATTATTTTTTAAAAAATTAAGTACTTTTAATACGTCTTTATTGAACAAAGTCAAGCTAAAGAATGATTATATTTTACATTTAATACACATCTATTGTTTATGTCTAGGAAAATTTATGAAAGTATGATAAGAGAAAGTTACTTACAGAAAGTCGTTTATTGTCTATGTAGCTATTTTAGCAACACATAACTTACTATTATTACTTTCTATACTATTAAAAAGTTGTATATCAGTTATAAAAATTTTAGTTATGTGACGTGTATTTTGCGTTTTAATTACTTAAATATACCAACATTGTATACCTTTGTCTGTTACTTGAGTTATTTCAATTTAATTCAATTAATTTTCACACTCTTCTGGTTTTTGTACTACATACAGGGTGGTCTAACATGTCAAAACCAAATTAAGCATGCCTTCTTTCTTATTAGCCTATAAAAAACCGACATATTAAATTAAGATACAATCTCTTAGGGTCGAAACCAAATTACCCTTACTACCATGTTTCGGTTTGTAAGGGACACCAAAGGGCGTCTGAATAGCAAACAAACAGACCACTGGATTTTCCACCTAATTGCTCAAAAAGATGAAGATCTACCCGATTAGTTACCGCTTAGCTATTCAGGACCGGATTACGCGAAACCAAACCAAACCAACAGGTACCTACCAATGAATACAAATTTTACAATTCTTAAGATAGATATTTCAATAAGAGACTAATAATTGCAGTAAATAGTATTGGGAAGGTTAACTTGAAAAATGGAGAATGATGGATTAACTATGCTGGCAATACGGACTTTAAATTATCAAAATAAAACCTAATTTGGAATTTTAACAAGGAAATTTAACTTTTCATTTTTACTTGGACATTTAATTAGGAAATTTAAACTGAAAATTTAATTTGGAAATTTAATTTGAGAAGGTGACTTTGAAATTTAACATATAACTAGATATTTAAAAATGCATATGTTACAAAACTTGAACTGATTTACTATAGAGAAAATATATTGTTATTTCAATATGTCATTTTTAATATTAATGATATTAAATAAAATATTTACCACTTTTAAAGAACATATAAATTAAGTATTTATATTATCTTTGACATCTTAAAATAGATACTTTGATTCGGAACTTCCCTCAGTACGTCTCTGTGAAGAGTGGGGTGCATGATGCTCTTATATATAATCCAGGGGTTGGATATTTGGATACAGTAAATAGTGCAACTTTTTAAAATTAAATGGTAGTTTCTCGGTATGATTTTCAAAATGGAAAATGACGGGGCTGCCGCAAAAAATCACAGTGATTTTAGTATAGACCATATTTTAAATAGAGCCGGTAGTTCTGGGAACACTGTTAACGATGATAGTAATAATTGTGAAAGTCCGTCAAGTAATGAAGAAAATTCATTTTCTTGGTTACAGTGCACGCGATTTTGTCCACCAAAAATACCAAGTAAGTACCTACTGTGTGTTCATGATTTTGTTTAGTTACTTCAGATTTTTAAAAGGTATGCCAGGCAATTCACATTAATTACAAAAGTTTTCAAACTTTGTTGGAATTTTTCTTAAATTGTAAAAATAATAAATTTAATTCTGCAACTTTTTCTGAGGTCCGGAACATTTTAAAAATTATAAAAATTTAAAATTTATTATAACTTTAAAAAAAAATCCGATGTGTCCAACACATGACTTTCCTATCTAGTTATTACAGGCTTTTTCCGGTTATTTTGTACAACCTATTGCAGCACCTCCATAAATGTTTAGAGGATAAAATAAATATATACATTTTCCACATACATCTACCTCGAAACATGTTTCTATATATATTCATTGAAAATTAAAATACTGGAAAATTTAAATTTAGCACTTTTCCTACAATTTTTCCATTACGGTCCATTTTAGAAAAATGATGTATAAACAAAAATTATAGAGATCGATATCGCAAAAACTTTTATTTCAACAATTTTCATAAAAATCGGAATTTTGTCAAATTTCTCGAATACGGACCATTTCAGGAAATTTTGACAAAAATCAAAAATTATAGATAATATTATAAGAAATAACTTTTATTTAAACAATTTTTTTCTCCAAACATAAATAACAGATATATTCAATAAAATATAAAAACGGCCCCCCATAAAGTAGCCCCCAGATGTTCCGACTTTGTCCAAAATCTAATCATTTCACGTCAGGCCGAAATAAAACTTAAGTTTAAAATTTAATGTTTTTTTTCTCTTCTCTTCATAGACAATTTTGCATTGCGAAATTGATACAAAAAGTGTTTTCCAGTTTACCGCGTCGCGGAGAAAACCATGGTGCTTTAATTTCATTTTATTTTTAAAAATTTGTGGAACATAAAAAATGCAGATATATAAAAGTTATAACTGAAAGTAAATCCTAAACACTTGTTATAGGTACGGTAGCGTAGGTGCTTATTAATGTCAATCAATTAGATTAGACCAGTGGCGGCTTGCAAAAAAATGCAAGTATTTCATCTATATTTCACAAAAAATATGTAGGACATTCTAAAATATACGTAAAATAGATTTAATTAATAATCTCATAATTTTGATTTCATTTTAATTATGAAATAGTAATGGTGTGGGTGCATTGCACCGCTTGGATAGCCCGCGCTCTTCGTCTCCTTTAATTGTTCTAGTAGGTAGTATTGATAGGCATATGCTTGTTAAAAAAGCATAATTAACAAGTTTGCAAACAGCGAAACTTTCTTGGCAACAGTATTTTGATCAAAAATTAAAAAATGGTGTATTGAACAATTCTTCTTTCAAATTTTTAAAACACATTTTTTTTATTTTTGATCAAAATACTGTTGACAAGAAAGTTTTGTTGTTCGCAAACTTGTTAATTAATCTTTTTTTGACAGGCATATCGAGACTACTAGAAGAAGTAAAGGAGACGAAAAGCGCGAGCGGCCCAAGCGGTGCAGTGCACACACACCATTTACTGTCTAATGATTAAAATTAAATTAAAATACAATAATAAGATGAAATTGTTTGGATTTCCAAAAGATATCAACATAGAGGGTGTTCGATAAGTACTCTACATAACTTCAGAAGCATATTTTGGAGCTAAAATAAAGGTATTTTTGTCATATACACTATGTCTCAAAAATGCTTCGTTACGGAAATACAGGGTATGAAAGTTTCATAAAAAAAATACAATTTTTTTAAATATTTCCAAAACCACTTGAGATATTTTAATTAAATGTTTGCAACTTTTGAGAGTTAGCAACGTTGCGTGTTTTACTGTAAACACAGTGGCTTTCGTTTAACCAGTGGCGTGCGGACAAGGTAATAGATGAAAAATATGAAGGAAAAACGTGTTACGCCGCTGTTCTTTTTCAATATTTAGTTTTTTGATTGTTCGATTTGGAAGAAAAAAGGTCCCTTGACTTTTTTCATGAATAATTACAGAGCCATTTTTAATTTTTTTCTATTATTTAACTACAAATAAAAATCATATAAATAATCACTTATAACAAAGAATCAGACCAAATGTTGAAAATTGCCACCTTCTGATAAAACGCACGATTCCAATCGTTTCCTCATTGATTGTCTTACTCTTTCAAAAACTCCTGGAGTATTTTTTATGGTACTACAACCTTGAATTATTCGATTTCTTAAATCATTTTCATTTAATACGAGTGATTTAAGGTGACGCCATAAATAGTCCAAGATATTAAGATCGGGACTGCGAGGTTGCCAAGCTTGCCATGTTTGCTGGAAGCGACCTTCTCTTAATGCATGAGGATTCTCCTCAGCCCATAAATGCTCAATTATGAAAATTAATAATTGCTTTTCGCGAAAAAGTTGCCTCATCAGTAAATAAAATTAGGGTCAAAAAATTGTAGACATGAGCAGCTTTATGGAGTAACCACCTACTAAAATTTAGCTTTGGTTGAAAGTCGCGGGGCAGCAGTGCCTGTACTCGTTGTATGTGGTATGGGTAAAGCAGAGAAACTTTCAAAACTTTCCAAACAGTATTTGCACCTATTTGAAGCTGTTGTGCAATCTTCCTGGTACTAGTCGAAGGATTTTCTTCTCCTGTAGTATAGCTCAGGCGTTGTTACTGTTCGTGGTCTACCAGGAACTACCTGATTATGCTCAAAACTACCGGTTTCACTCAATCTGACATGTATCTTTCTAAATATTTTAGCACATGGCGTTACCCTATTCGGATAAGGTTAGTGATAAGGTCTTCTAGCTTCCGCTGAATTCCCATTTGCTAAGCCATAAATGAAGTGCATTTGAGCCATTTAAGCGTTAGTAAAGTTATTTAGTTTAATGTCTGACATACAAATAAATAAACAATTGGAAACTAGAAAAATGTCAAACAAGTACCTGGAAAAAATTGAAGATAACATTTTTGTTGTACATTGGAACAGTGGCGTAACACGTTTTTCCTTCCATATTTTTCAGCGATTAGTGTGATTGAAATATCTTAATTGGTTTTGGAAATATTTAAAAAATTGTATTTTTTTATGAAACTTTCACACCCTGTATTTCCGTAACGAAGCATTTTTGAGACATAATTAAAACAATCATGGAGAAATGTGGTACTGTCAACTCACAAATGAAGCACATTTTGAACACTTGATAAAGTAACCATTATGTTAAAAATGGTGTAATCTTTTAATTGTTACGTTTTAATGTAGTTGAAAATAGTTTGTATTAAAAAATTTATGAGATAATTAGGCGTTGCCAGACTTCTGTTTTATTTATTTAAGACCTTCTAGACTACATAAAATCATAAGTGTTACATATGGTTGAACTCGTATTGAGTAGGAGATTCCAACAATGAGTTAATATACAGGGTGATCAATTTGAAAAACCAAAGTGACTAATAATATAAGAGAAACGGAAAATCTGACAACATTGCAAATACTAAATCTGGAATCTCCGTATCCCAAAATAGGTGTATCCCAAATTTTGTACAATTAGGACTAGCAATTTACGAGATAATTGGCCGTTTCCAGACTTTTGGGCCACTATGTATACAGTTAAAAGAAAAATTGCTTCAGAACGGTTAAAGGGGTTGATTTCCCAAGATAAATGAAAAGTTAAATTCATATTTAGCAATTAAAAAGTAAATAGCTAGTTCTATATACAGTTAAAAGGAAAATTGCTTCCGAAGGGTCAAAGGGGTTGATTTCTCAACCCTAATATTTAAAAAAATCATAATTTCTAAAATAAATGAAAAGCCTTTGACTGTTTGGAAGCAATTTTTCTTTCAACTCTATATAGTATACTGGCCGTTTGTTTTTTAATTACCTAATATGAACTTGGCTTTTTATTTATTTTAGAAATTGATTTTTTTAAATATTAGGGTTGAGAAATCAACCCCTTTGACTGTTCGCTAGCAATTTTCCTTTTAACTGTATATAGTACTAGTAATTATCTTTTTAGGTACTAAATATAAATTTGGCTTTTCATTTATTTTAGGAATTATGATTTTTTTAAAAATTAGGGTTGAAAAATCAACCCTTTTGATCGATCGGAAGCAATTTTCCTTTTAACTGGATACAGTACTAGCAATTATCTTTTTAGTGCTAAATATAAATTTGGCTTTTCATTTATTTTAGAAATTATTTTTTTTGCCCAACTTATACATTATGAACGTGTATCATTAATTAGTAGAGACATCTTTAATCAATATGTATACCGAATTTGGTAAGCACAAGTACTGAAAATGCTGCTCAAAAAAATATTACATCCACAATCGTTTTTGCACAGCTTAAGAGCTGTGGTTTTTGTTTTGCTTCTCCTGAAAAATTAACATTTATAAGGTTATGGTACTATTGAAACAGGGGTGCGATATTAGGGTTGAGAAATCAACCCTTTTGACCGTTCGGAAGCAATTTTTCTTTTAACTGTATATATTACTGGCTATTTACTTTTTAATTGCTAAATATGAATTTGGCTTTTCATTTATTTTAGGAATTACGAATTTTTTTAATATTAGGGTTGAGAAATCAACCCCTTTGACTGTTTGGGAGCAATTTTTCTTTTAACTGTAATACTTGTCATTTGCTATTTAATTGTTAAAAATGAACTTAGAAAATACTGAATCGTTTTAATTATTTCCGTTTTGTTTTTTAGGTTCAGCTTACTTCAAAATTATGAATATCTAATGAAAATTATAAAATATAGGTTTATTAAACTTATTAAAGCGTTGTCTTTCGTGATATTTATTTTTTTTTAATTTTTGGCATATTTAGCTTATACGCCACTGAAATGCGCAATCGTGCGTTTCAGGAAATTTTGGCTGCTGAAATTGGCTGCTATCTTCACACCGGTGACGCTAGGTCCATTTGGCATTACCATTGCACAGGATTTTTTTTATTCAAAGTTAATTTATACCGAGTTCTCTACATAATGCCGTCTTTATCGTTTAAATCTGACCAATATTGGCAGAGATACACGCTTAGGTTCTTTTGACATTGCTACTGCGCAGAATTTTTCTATTGAACGATAATCTATATACGTTCACGTAAACAATGGTCGCCATCTTGGATCGCTTAGCGGACTCGTAAACCACTTAGCCGAATTTCAATTGTGCCCCACTGACAGGTGGCACTATCTAGCGGCGACTTTGGAACTAGTAGGCCAGCTCTCTCTTTGCTCATCTAATTTAACTTTTATTAATGATGGTTTTAAAGACCTGTATAATAAACATATTTAACTTTACTCTTTTAAAAATACATTTTATGAAACAAAAATTATTTTTTTTAATTTTTTGCAGGAATTTCAAAAAAAGAAATACCACAGAAACGTCAACTGGGGCGCTACCCCAGAATTCCCTTTACCAACGATCAACTGGCCATCTTAGAAGAAAAATTCCAAGAAAGTCCTTATCTAAGCAGCGAAGAGGCCTCGAACCTTTCAAAGAGATTGCAATTAGCAGATGTAAAAGTGAAAATTTGGTTTCAAAACAGAAGAGCTCGAAAAAGAAGAGAAGAAATGGGTCAAAGTAGAAAAGAGAAGGTCTCAAATGTTCAAAATCATACGGTAGAAGAAGGATCTACTAGTACTAGTAATAGTGGATTTGTCCATAGTACTGCTGTAGTACCTTTTATTTATATTAACCCTCATGGTATAATAGATTTTGGTTCTAGGTGATATTTATATTTTCAAATATTGTATATAATAATTTATATTTTATTAGAATTAGTAAAAAATATATTTTTTTAATGTTGTATTTCTTAAACCTCCAAACAACAAACTATTTTTATTTCTTCAAATTATTAAAAAAAAAAATTTGTTTGGTTTCAATTTTAAGGTTAAAATGTCATTCTGTGGAAGTGGAAAGAACATAAATCAAAGTATTTAAATTTCACAGCCAACTCCAATTATAATATTTCGCGATGACTAGCAGTTATTGTGGAAGTAGGATATTGAAGAAGATGCTACGTTAATTTACACCATTTTTAATAACAAAATACCCTGATTCTTCTTCAAATTACTGTGGAATCTCCAAATTTTAAAATAACTAAGGAAGTTTAGTTTTGAAGAATAAGAACTAAATGATATTATGAAGCAGGCAAATATTTTTGGATATGTTAGATTTTATTAATTATTAGGTCAAATAAATATTTAGTTAGCAAGTGATTATCGATAGAATACAATGCATGAGAATCAGCCAACAGTCACAGCTGACCACACTAGACACTCAAGGTGACTCAAATCGTTCTGCCTGTAGAAGCGCCGACGACCGACCGTCGGTCCGCTACTACCGCATTAGTTCTCCGCACTCCTCGCCCTTGACGGTCGAAGTTCTCTACAATAATACAATTAGTCAGTAAAAGTTTTCGCCTTTTATTGTTTTTGTGAGTGTGGTTAGTGGGAAGAGGACGTGCCAAAAGGAAACATTAACTTCTTAATTTGCCGACGTTAAAATACTAACTATACCTACCGTACTATTAAATAAAAAACATACAAATGAATTTCTTTGTCCACCTACAATTTTAACTGCTACAATATTTTGATTAATTTTATCATCATTTTAAGATATCTGTGTGTCAATGTTACTTTTAGTATTAGATTTTATTTATGTATTGTTCTGTTTTAACTGTTTCGGCAAATTTCACATATATGCATTAATTAATTTAATAAGGTAAGGTTTTTAGTTTTTATTTTTCCTTGTTTTTATATTTATATTGATTTGTTAATTCTCTCATGCTAACAATGATTGTTTTATTGAAATAACAATAACCATTTACGTTGTATATATACCTATATACCATTTATAATATTGACACCTATGTAAATCTCATAGTTTTTACAATTTTTTATTAAAACCTATTATGTATTTTCAGCCTTGAAAAAGACGAAAAATAAACGTCGAAACGTCGGCAAATTAAGAAGTTAATGTTTCCTTTTGGCATGTCCTCTTCCCACTAACCTCACACTCACAACTATAAATTAGTAACCACACAAAAATTTGTTTATCTGCTAACACGGCCATACTTGTCATATATTAGTTAAGAGTAGTAATAACGGAACCCACCCTGTCAACGGTCCAAGAGCAGTCTTGGTTATGTATTGAACGTAAATAAATCTATGTTACAAGTCTCTCAATATTTATTAATAATCCCAAAAACAATGCATAAAGAAATGTTAGATCGCATTCATTATGGTCATTTAGGTATAAATAAATCAATAACGTTAGCCAAAGACTCAGTTTTTTGGCCAGGTATCAATATATGCTATCAAACAAAAAATTGAAAAGTGTCATTTATGTTTAAAATACGCAAAATCACAAAAATCAGAACCATTAAAGTCACATGATATTCCAGACATGAGATGGAATAAAATAGGTTGCGATTTATTTGAAATTAAAGGACAAAATTTTCTACTAGTTGTTGACTATTATTCCAAATTCATTGAGGTCGCAGTTCTGAATAGTACTACTAGCAAAAATATAATTAATTCTCTAAAAAATATATTTTCAACTCATGGTATTCCGTTAACAATAATATCAGATGGAGGTCCACAATTTAATTCAGCGGAATTTAAAATTTTTTCAAGAGAATGGGAATTTGTGCACATAACATCTTCACCAACATATGCCCAGAGCAATGGTATGGTAGAACGTAATATACAGACAGTAAAAAATATAATTAAAAAATGTATTGAGGAACGGAAAGATATTTATATGGCATTATTAAATTATAAAAATTCGTATATTGATGGAACAAATTCTCCTTCACAAATACTAATGTCGAGGAAAATTAGATCAAATATTATCAGTGCAAATGAAGCTTATAAACCTAAAATAGTTAATAATTTTGATCAACAAATTAAAACAAATCAATTTAAACAACAGCAGTATTATAATAATAAAGGGGTAAAACAACTTCTTGATATTCCAGTAAATAGTACAGTGTATGTTCAAGTAAAACCAAGAAGTTGTTGGACACCTGGAATAGTTTTATCTAAACTTAGAGATAAAGTATATAAAGTTAAGTTGAATAATGGTTCGGAACTTTATAGAAATAGAAAATTTATTAAAGTTGTAAAAGCAAATGAAGAACATAAAATTATTTTAAACAAAAACAATGTAGTACCGTACCACTCTTCAGTTGACATAAAGCAAAAAATAAGTAATGAAAATAAACAAGAATGTATTAGGTATTACATTGAAATAGAGAACACTGAAACCAGTGAGAATAGTGAAAGTGACACTAGTGCGAATAATGAAGCTAGTGATACAGAAGAAACAGTAACAGAAACTAGTGATACGGAAGAAACAGTAACAGAAACTAGTGATGCAGAAGAAAAAGTAACCGAAACCTTTTAGTTTAAGTCCAGTTGCAAATAATGGTGAGGTCGAAAAATCAACAGTCACAGCATCAGGCAGAATAGTAAAGCCTCCAAATAAATTAAATCTATAACTGTTTATTTTTCACCTTAAATATAGAATTTTAGCTTTTCATTGTGAAAAAAAAAAAAAAAAGGAAGATGTCATATATTAGTTAAGAGTAGTAATAACGGAACCCACCCTGTCACGTGTCAAGTGTCAGTGATCATGATTGTCAACGGTCCAAGAGCAGTCTTGGTTATGTATTGAACGTAAATAAATCTATGTTACAAGTCTCTCAATATTTATTAATAATTACAAATACAATTAACTACAAATCATAACAATACTGATCTATATATCCGTCCGACATTTTCAATTAATATGTTTAAAATAATTTCAAAATTAAAGCTGTGCTACTTGGATTCAACAATCTCCGTCCAGCATTTTTCAATTTTTATATGTTTTTTCTACGTAGAGTTATCGTGCCGGCATACATAAACACAGACGACCAGACGAACATTTTTTTTGCATTTTTGGACTTGATCGGAAACGTGAAAAAAAGTTTAAAAAATGGAGGCAAGAAAATTTTTTCGTCTGCACGAATGCAATACTGAGGACCCATAGGAAGAGCCTCAGTAATTTTCCATTCTTCTTGACAAAAGAAAAATTACTTACTTATTAACATTAATGTTATAGCAAATTAAAAGCTTAATAATGAATAAACGCTAATTTGACATTTTGTTAAAAGATAAATGTTGACAGTTCCTGTTTAACATAAGATAAAATATATTAAAGAAATTAAAAATACGCGTTAAAAAAGGCAAAAGAGCTTTTTTGTCACAAATTGAACGTGGAATAAAAAAATAATTTTTAATTTGAAATATCTCAGTGGCGTGCAATTTTTTTCTTTAAAAAAATTTAGGTCAATACCCGTACACGCCAATGATGAACAAAAAATTCTTAATTCATGTCAAAAATACGCAATAACTACCTCTTAAAACTAACCAAATTTCATTTGCATATTTCCATCGCTTTCAGAGCAATAAATAAACAATTTTGAAGAAAAACGAAGCATTTGTGGACATATGTTTACATAGCAAACTGTCATTATTTTTTCATGTAGAATTACATCCTGAAGTTTGTCGCTCTTATTTACTGACCCGTGTATATTAAACTGGAAGCCCAAAGCCGATCAACAAAATCGAGTCGTATAGCGAGGAGATATTTGACAGGCTGGCACCCACAGGTGCGTATCCAAATGCACTTAAAGGTATAACTAAAATTAAATTTAACATTTAATACTTTCAACTACAACACCTTTTAATTTAAGAAAATCACTTGAAAATTACGCAGCTAAAACAAATATTCCAATAACAATAATAATTAAAATACCACGATACATAATAAAAGTAATATAACTTATCGTAGTACGCCCGCGGAAAACGTGACGTATAACGCTTTTAATTGACAGTCTGTCGTCTAAATTGTCATGCGCACCTATCGTTTTTTTCACCCATTACATATCGGGTCAGAAACTAGGTCGGTGCTTTTAGTTTAACTTACCTAAATATGTCAGAGGTGGTATCACACCCTGTTAATGCATGTACAAACAGAAGAAGAAGATTTTAAAATATTGCTGTATAATTATTCGGTTACGGTACTGCCATTTTTTAGCCTAAATTTAAAGTAGCAAACATAACGGCAGACTTTCCGTTGATATAATATTGTTTTGCTTTTTGTTTGACTAACATTTAAAAGATAACGTTCTAGTTTATTCGAATACCAGTAATAAATAGCTTCTAAAATAGTATGTATCAAAATTCAATCAAAATGGTGAGTGTGTTTTCTTACACAGTTATAAAGTTTCTTAAAAAATTATTAGCGTGATCTGTGGCTTATATTTGATTATCTTTTGAGATCTTCAAAAAAGTTTTAAGAAATGGTATGTTTATACCTGTGCCTAGATGACAAATAATGAGTATTGTAACAGGATTATCAAAACAAATTTTACCTGATTCGGGGATTTATTTCCTTTTGTTTTTTTTTTTTGAAAATGATTGTAAAAAGTGATATGTATTTTTTTAGCAGATACTATTTTTCCTCTTCATTGCATATTCATATGTGACTTGCGAAGAAAATAAAGATAATGGTAACGTAGTAACTGTTACAAAAAAAGTAGAAACCAGAAAATCGAAACAAATGGTGTTTCATAATCCACCAAATTTAGGCAATCAGAAAAAAATTTGGAATAGTTATGCCGTGGATGAAGGGTAAGCTAAACTAAAATTTATACGTAGCAAAATATATTCTTATTTTCGAAATAGAGTACCCATACAGGATGCTCCAAAATTAGACGGTCATATTTTAACAGCTTAATCTACATTCTAAAATAGGAGAATAGTTCATATAAACATAGGCCCGAAAACGTTTCGTTTCCGAGATACAGGGTGTTAAAAGTGAAGCCCTGATGACACATTTTAGGACGCACAATTTTCAAGAAAAAGCATTTGAACATTTCATGATTAGTTCATATTATCTTATTCGAAAGTGCAAACAATAATTAGCAGGCCTGTGGAATCAAAAAAAAATTTTTTTTTGCTTTGTAAAACCGGTGAAAAAAGAAATTTATTTAGATTTATTAACTTTTTATTAACTGAACAAATACCTAATATTTTATACAAACCTAATATGGAGTAAAGTGGGGGAATATGCCGCGCTGGGTAATATGCCCCAGTTTGATATCTTCCTTCTAAGGCAACATTTGGCAATAGTGTTCATGGTAACGTGTCAGTTTCAAGCACCAAACATTTGTGAATCCTTCAGAAATAAAATTTATTAGTTTTTAGTGAATATCGTCAGTGTAAAGGTAAGAACCGTCTAAAAAATATTCTTCGGTAAGGTTATACCTAGCGGTAACAGAAGTGTTTTTAATCCAGTTTTAATAGGAGTATGCGAAAATACGATTGCTAACCTCATTCTTTTTTGTGAAACAATCCGTTAAACTTGTGTCTGAAATAGGTGTTGCCACTTTTTGAATTAATATGTACAATGGGGTAAAATGCCTCATAATTTTTAACTGCGGCATATTACCCCGAGAGGCGGCATATTACCCCTGACATATTTTTTGTTTTATTTCAGTAATTGTCTAGATGTCCCGAACGTATGTTCGAAAGAACGTGAGGGCTTTATGGTCCGAAGAAGATCTTCGCAATGCTATTGATGATCTTAGAAACGGTAGAGGTTCAGTTTGCCAAATTAGTCGTACGTACAAGGTTCCTGTCCGTACTTTGATGAAAAAAATGAGATCTGGGAACCTCCGTAAAGAAAAATTAGGCCGAAAAAGTTGTCTGACTTTAGTTCATGAAGCTAGTTTGGCAAAATACATTCAAAACATGGAAAGGCATGGGTTTGCGCTAACATCGGTTAATGTGAAGAAGCTTGCATTTTCTTTTGCGATTTAAAATAATATTCCGAACAGATTCAATATTGATACAAAGCAAGCTGGCCATGACTGGTTTGTCCCATTTATGCAGAGACATCCAGAATTGTCAATTCGAAAAGCTCAAGGAATGTCTGTAGCTCAAGCTCAAGGTATGAATAAAGAAGAATGCCGACGATACTTCGATTTTTTGAAAAAAGTATTAACAGACAATGATTTATTAAACACCCCGAGAAAAATATTTAATATTAATGAGTCTGGGCTGCAACTCAACAATAATCCAGGGAAAGTTGTTGCCACTAAAGGCATCAAAACTATAAACTCCGTCACAAGTGCTGAGAAAAAGGAGACGATATCAGTAATAGCCTGCGTAAATGCAGAAGGTAATTTCCTTCCTTCCGTTTGTATTTTTAAAGGCAAGAAGAAAAAACAAGAATTTGAAGATGGCTTGCCTCCTGGAGGTAAAGTTATGATAAATGAAAAGTCGGCCTATGTGATAACAGACATTTTTAAAACATGGCTACGAGAGCACTTTATTGCAAGAAAGGAGCCCGGTAAAGTACTTCTCATACTAGATGGACACTCCTCGCACTGTTCGGATGTAGAATTGTTGGATTTAGCTGCAAGCAACGATGTTATAATTTTGTGTTTGTCAAGCCATACGACCCACTGGTTGCAGCCACTGGACAGATAATTTTTTAAGCCTCTAAAGACCTACTGGTCACAGGCATGTAACACCTGGATACATAATCATCTAGGTCGCAAATTAAGTAGGCTGCAGTTTCCGACACTCTTGAACATCGCATGGGGAAAAGAAGCGACAGTACAAAATGGAATTTCGGGTTTTAGAACCTGTGGTATATATCCGTTTAATGCCACTATAATTCCAGATCATGCTTTTATTTAGCCAAATCCTGAGACAATTCCCATTAACGATATTTTAAAAGAAAACTTTAATGATGTCATTCCTAATGATGCCCCCATTATTAACAATATCCCTACCGATATTCCTGATGACGGGGTCAATATTATTGATGACGTTGCAGTAATCTCCAAGACCAACAACACAACATTTGAGGAGATTGCGCCTATTCCAGTTATGCCTGGGTCAAGTGGTTGTCAGAAAAGGAAACAGCATGCTGAGCTACTTATATCTCCAGAAATTATTGCACAAAAGAAATAAAAGAAAAAAAGGAAATTGCAAAGATAAAACGCAAGCAAAAGAAAAGAATGTAATGAACACAAGAAATAAAAAAAGAAGACATTTATTGTTCAAAAGATAAAACATATTGCAAGGGCTACTGATGATACCAGTTCGTCAGATATCGAATTGGAAGTGCTTATAGTAGAGAGCGAGGGTTCAGAACTGGAACATGATGATTCAGAATTTTGTGCCCAATGCGGTGGATACTATTTTGACAAAAAAGGTCCGAAATTTGATTGGTTACAATGTCTAAAATGTCATGATTGGGTTCACGAGATATGTACTTCTTCCGACGCATATTGTGCAGACTGTATCCCACTTAATCAATTAGCGAGTAGGTCTAGAGCTCTGAAGATATAAGTTTTATTAGCCTATGTATAGTTGTACTACTCAATATATGTGCTATGTTGTAAAGAATACATATGTTTTCTAATCTCAAAATTTTTTTAATTTCTTACGAGAAGAGCATGTTGCCATATTACCCAAGGGTACGGATAATATGGCAATAGCGTATTATCCGAAATTTCTGCTTCTATCTCCTTAGTGGGAATATGGTAACGAGCCTTTCTCGTCAGTCACACATATAAACAAGCTCTAAGATGCGACTTTTTCCTTGCGGCTAAGTTGGTTGTTCGTTAGAATGTGAGCGTTTGAAGTTTATGTTGCCATATTCCTCCGTTTTACATGTAATAAAATAAAGTATAAAATATACAAACTAATAGGTACCTACTTAGAAAGAAACTAATATTTAAATGAAAAACCTGACCAAAAGTTGTAAAATAAATTGTCGCAATGTTTTTTAAAAATTACGATTTTTATACTATTTATTTGACCATATATGTCCAAAAGTGTACTAAATTTCTGAACTAATGCAGTCAAATAGTTCTTTAAATAAATAAAATCTCACCAAGAAAGGTTAAAAAATTCAAGTTATTTGATATGTCTATACCTATTGTGTTTACGCTCATGTTGTTTATTAACAATTAATAATTGGGGTGGTAATAATAATAATTTTGTTGCCAACAATTTTCTTTTCATAATTTAAATTACTAATTAAATATTATGTGACATTCATAACTAATATTCATTCACCAGAGAGATAAAAAAGCCATTTTGTTTAATAACATTAGATGATGTGATGGTAATATTAATAACTTTATTGTCAACAATTTTCCTTCGATATAGCAATTTACATTATACATCAGGTATCTAAATAAGTAATAGTATATTATTTAACGAGCGGTAATGCAGGTCATAACTCACGCAGATGAAGTTATGACCATTACCGCAAGTTGAATACTATACTTTATCTACGACTATAACAATAAATACTAAGATACAAGTATCAAGAAAGAATTATATAATTGTCTAGATGATAAAAACGTTTGAATTTTTGTAAAAGCTACTGCCTTTGACGCCAGATATTTCTCATCAGCAGGGTTATTCTACTAAATTTATAGCCCGGCTACAAGTTTATAGCCCGGCTACAAGTTGGATTTTGAAGTTAGGAACATATAAAGTTCAAGCCAAAATCCAACTTGTAGCCGGGCTACAAATTTAGTAGAATAACCCTGCAGGAGCTTTATTTATGAAATTATTAAGTTGTTTTGGCGTAAATGGTTTTGCCTTTTTAGCTATATGTTTTTCTGATTGACGTTTAAGAAACGCACGTAATTTTGAATAATTGTCTATATTAATTCAATTATTTATGTTGAGTGTGCTTCTTAGCAAGGACTAGCAAGTCCATAGATACGATCTTTATATTTATTGCTAAGTTCATTAAAATATGCCAAAGGTACATTTTTTGTAAACGAGTTACACCAATCTTGAAAATTTTAGTATACACCTTCATACTTGTTTTTTGATTTTTCTGGTAATAAATTATGTGTTACATTATTAGCTATCTCTCTTATTTCTAAATAACAATTCATCTTCACTATCTTAATTCATCTTTTTTTAGCACTGTTATTAGAAATTGATTTGAAAACGTCAAAATTATCTTGTTAAAATATCAAATGACATAACTCCCCTCAATGTAATAATTAACTGATCCGCCTACTGAGAGGCGTTGACAATTTAATAACGATTTCACTACGATTTCCATGTACTAAGACATAAATATTATTTTTAGTTCAAGAACAAAACTTGCTCATATACCTATCCTATATCTGCAATGTCGTTTTTTTTACTTTTAGTCATTACCATGATCACCTGGTGCAAACAAATCCCGGAAGAGCCAAATTAAACAACAATCGTAGGCAAACACTTTTCGCTAAACCTTTCAAAAACAATGTTCACTCTGGAAGCAACAAATACCAACCACAAGTAAAGCATTATGGCAATAGATATTTAAGAAAACCTGCTACTAATTATAATCAGTTTTATCAAAATTATGGATATCAGCAGAGACCTTATCGAACCCGAAGACCTGTAGGTGGAACTTCTAAAAGTACTATTACTACTACCGTAACAGAAAAGACAGTTAAGAAGAAGTTCAAACCGTCATTTGTGATGATGTAAACAACCATATATAAACATTACAATACTTATGTAAGGCTTTGATTGGTATTAAATAAAATGTTTGTAAGTTAGGAATTATTTCTATTATATTCTAAGAAAGAACTAAATATTTTTAAAATCATTTCATGGTTGAATACAGTATTACCAAACCATTACAAAAATAAAATAAAATGCAGGGTGTTTTATTAAAAAAACATACATTTTTATTTGCCATGCAAAAACGTAACACTCTGTATATCCAAAAATATTTTGAAAACATGTATTTTTTAAATTCATATAACTTTTTAAGGTGGGGTGGAGTTTTCCTCACTTGTAAGTCAAATGGCATCATCAATAATCTTTAAGTCGCTTCGGAGCGCCACAGCTCCCTTTCCCCGGACAAGCTCAGCTTTTGGGGTTAAAATTCAATCGTATGGGGGTGAATTAGGGAGGGTATTATTATTTTTTTATTTGAAACTTTTTGCGTGTCTATAACACAAATTGAAATATTGAAAAACTACGCACTAATGGGACACCCTATATAAGTATCTACTTGTTCAATAAACCTAGTTTTCAAAAAATAATTCATTTATTTAAGGAGTAAATTGCTTTTCTTGATTGTTTAATAAATGACCAACAACATTTTTCAAAAATGTATGTTTTTGTATAAATTAACAAAAAATGTCAACCACCAAAAAACAATATTTATATGTGAAAATTGAAAAGAACACTACAAAACCATGAACTTATCTAATTAAATATTTGATGGGCATCTGTCTTCTATAGTAGCCAAAGTGGATGCAAAAAGCCGTCAAGATGCGGTCGGATAATACGAAAAAGATAAACGTCAATGATAAAACCCCAAAAGGATGAATAAACAGAGCAAATAAGCGGAAAGATACAATCTTATTGTAACTTAATAACGTTTACTGTATGGGTAAAACACCACTTCAAGTTTAAACATTTCAATGTCTTTTGTCACTACAATTTTTTTGATGACAATCTAGCTACCGACTAGATAGGTAGATGGGCAGATGTTTTTATACGGAAAGCTTCTTGTCAAAATGATATTTTCTATTGGACAGGGCAGATTTTATCGAAGCCATTTTGTTAAATGGAACTAATTTAATTTATTCGAAGACTGACATGATATAATACAAATTTTGATTAAATAATTGTTTTTATTACATGGTCTAAATTTTTTGATAATCTCTAAATTCCCTCGTTTATTTTATATACAAAATTTTTCAGGAACACATTTTCACGTCTTGAAATTATTATTTTTACAATAGTCTAGCGACTGGGGCGTTAAAAACATAAAAACCTCGAACTTAAGCTGCAGTGAATGAAATTTAACAATTAAAAATCTGATGTGTCCAACACATGACTTTCCTATCTAGGTATTACAGGCTTTTTCCGGTTATTTTGTACAACCTATTGCAGCATCTCTATAAATGTTTAGAGGATAAACTAAATATATACATTGTCCACATACATCTACCGCGAAACATTTTTCTATAGATATTCATTGAAAATGAAAATACTGAAAAATTTAAATTTAGCACTTTTCCTACAATTTTTTCATTACGGTCCATTTTAAAAATATGATGTATAAACAAATATTATAGAGATCGATATCGCAAACAACTTTTATTTCAACAATTTTCATAAAAATCAGAATTTTGCACATTTTGTCAAATTTTTCGAATACGGACCATTTCAGGAAATTTTTACATAAAGCAAAAATTATAGATAATAATATTAGAAGTAACTTTTATTTGAACAATTTTTTTCTTCAAACATAAATAACAGATATATTCCATAAAATATAAAAACGGCCTCCCATAAAGTACCCCCCCAGATGTTCCGACTTTGTCCAAAATCTAATCATTTCACGTCAGGCCGAAATAAAACTTAAGTTTAAAATTTAAAGTTTTTTTCTTTATCCATTTTTGAGTTTTCTTCAAATTTCGAAATTTACACATTTTCTCAAATATCTCGAATACGGTCCATTTTAGAGAAATTATCTATAGGATAAAAATTATAGAGAATTATATTACAAACAACTTTTGTTTGAACAATTTTTATAAAAAAAAATATTTTTTTACATTTTGTCAAATTTCGCGAATACGGACCATTTTAGGAAAATTTTGTATATAACAAAAATTATAGATAATAAAATAAGAAGTAACTTTCATTTGAAGAATTTTCTTCCCCAAACGTAAATAACAGATATATTCCATAAAATATAAAAATGACCACCTATAAAGTACCCCCCCAGATGTTCCGACTCTGCCCAAAATCTAATCAGCTCATAAGACGTTGGAACAAAGCTTAAGTTTAAAATTTGGTGTTTTTCCGTGTATCGGTTCATGAGTTATGCGTTATACAGACACACACACACACACACACACACACACACACAGACACACACACACACACACACACACACACACACACACACACACACACACACACACACACACACACACACACACACACACACCCACACAGACATCATCGCGAAAATAGTCAAAACGGATTCAGGGGACCTCAAAACGTAAAAATCCGTCGAAAACTCGAGGTCGAAAAAAATCATGATTCCTTATATCTGTATACAGATAGGAAAGTAAAAATGGAATATTTTGCTACTAATATAAACATCCCAGCTAGCACAAAACGTTGCCAAGCCTTTGGGCGATGTTGCTTTAACGGAACGTAATAACATTGTTATACAACGTAAATGCAACGTTCATGAGAAGTTGTTGAGGGAAATTAAAACCACGCAAAACTTCTAGTTGTTATTTACCTATTTAACCTGTTATGTTAACACAACGTAATAAAGTAATTAGCTAAAAAAATATCCACGAGAAGTACTGTGAACATCACAATCTGATTCGGAACGTTTATGTTTATGTCAATTGTCACTTGTCAATTTTTCTTGTCATATGTCATGTTTCTGATGGTTATTTTTTAACTTGCAGAATTTATTTTATAATTATTATTTAAACATTTGAGTAGAATTGGTAAGGATCTTCTATAAAATAGAAAACTATTTTCTTAATCATTTTCTTCGTTTCAGATTACAATGCCTGTTGTAAAATTATTATTTCATTTATTAGGTACTAATGAAGGATCAAAATGTCCGGGAATATTTGGATCATATTTTTGTAGAAGTAGAAGTCTTACTTATAAATACTTATGAAAGAGATGTACAAAACTAACTTGCCACGTTACTGACGTATCCCAGAATGTAAGTGATCGCAGTAATTTCTTTTTCCCTAACTGGCCCTTAGAATTTAATGATTCGGAGAGTGGGGGTTTAATAAAAGTATATCTAACTGTGGTTTGATATAATATCTCTTTTAGCTCATGAACAATTTACACTGGGGTTTATAATCCCCTACAAATGGTTATTAAAGCTGTGAATGTGTTGACGGTATTAATGATACGATACAATTTATCTTATGGTCCCTCTTTTAGTACTAAAAGGTGCACAGATGAGTTTACATATTCAAGTTTTCAAGTTTATCCGCTATAATTTATATTTATTTTAGGAATTAATTGAAACGAGCCACTACTTCCAAATCTGGAAAAATAGAAAAATATAGTCCTTACTTGTGGCTGAGAAGTTATAAATCTTACTGCAATCAAACTGGTGATCGTTCAGGATGCGGTCATAACTGATTGATGGCGCCTGGAGGCGCCAAAGCCTCAGCAAGGGACTGCAAGCGAATCGTAGCTATATAAATCGAGATTCCAATGCATGTTGCTAACGTATGTGTTGTAGGTAATATTTTAGTCCAAAAAAAGACCCACTAAGTTATTAGATAAATAATTATTCAGTAGATAATTACAGTAAATGATAAATAAAGGCCTAAAATAAAATAACACTATTGACATGTGATTTTTAGGGAAGCATGGAGAGTCGAACTTATTACAGATATTAGGGGCCCTTCTTTTACAAGGAACAAAATCCACAATATGTGATTCCACTCAAACGAAACGTTCCTTGTAAGAATTGAGATGATGGTTTACTTAATGGTTAATTAAATCCGTAAATTAAAAAACTTAAACCCAGGTGGTTAAGAAAGAAGCCATTTTCATTAACCGGTCAGATATGAGAATACAAAAAAAAGTGATCAGTGGTCAATCCATGTCCAGATAAGATGTATTTAAATTGCCCTGGTTGTTGTACCTTGATGGAATTTTAATTAATTTAATGTATTTGAAAAAGAAGAGAATTGTCACCAGACTTTGACATAACAAAGATTAACAAATCATTAGGATTTAAAAAAAATCTACACTAGACAAACTAAGTTAATAATTACATATCTCTAATATATTTAAAAATCGTAATTATTTAATTTTTTAATAATATTTTGTTGGAACATTTTACTCATCTTAATGTATTTTAAATAGATTTATATTTTGTATTGGTTTTAGGATTACAACTGAAGTAATTAAGTACTATCTAGAGATGAAGAGAACGAATTAAAGTTTGTGACTAAATCTATTTGTAAATTTTATATTCCTAATTGATATTTGTTACGGGTTTTATTCTATCTAAACCTAGACTAGTCTAAATTACCCTAGTTTATACTACTCTAACCTATCCTATTTCCTAGCCTACCCTATTGTAAATTATTCTAAACTTACACTACTCTAAACTAGGTTTTTCTATTCTAAACTATCCTAAACTATTCTAAACTAATCTCAATTATTCTAACTTATTCTAATGTCTCTCCTACCCTATCCTAAATTAGTCGAATCTATCATACCTATTCCTATTACTATTCTACGCTTAACTATGTACACTATTCTATTTCTATTTGATTCTAACTTACCCTAAGCTACTCTAATTACTAAACTACTCTATTACTTACCTATTCTACTACTACTATATAAATGTATATAAATCAATAAAATGGGTCCATTAAATAAATTCATAAAATATCCATTTTTATCAAACATATTTTCTAGTAAAATATAAGATAATATTTTGTAATAAAGTATAATCTCACCTGGAGTATATTCAATTATAATTAACACCTTAATAAATAATTT